GGACTGGGCAGAAACTTCCATCCACAGTGAAATGGGGGGAAACTAATAGAAACGGAATTTGTGGTTGGGATGTATCATACAAGAGACAAATTAATGAAACATAATAAAAAGTACTTTTGGTTGTAAGCCTAGCATTCAGTTGATTTTTTCATTTATGAAGACTGTTCTTTTTGAATGGTATTTTTAGGTTCATATATGTGCACTGCGTTTAAATCAATGCTGTTCCTCATTCTAATCACACCACTTTCCATCATCAAATTTATCTTTCCTATATATGAAATACCATATGAATGTAGGTATGTATGTATGTATGTATGTATGTATGTATGTATGTATGTATGAACGAAACAGATCTGCTGAGTACTGTGAAAATTTCCTTTTCAGGTCAACTACTAATAAAATTCATGAAGTAAGTTCACTTTTCCTTTCAAATTACTCTAGATAGGGTGGCAAGTTGGGGAGTGGTGGATGGGGTAGAAGGGGATGGAGAGGGAGCTGCAATTGACATGTGAAGCAAACTTGTTTATGATTTAAATTAAAAGACAAATTACACAAGAATTGGAAAATGTGGCCTGTGTCCTTGGTGATTTGCTTGTTTCTGAGTCTAGATACCCAAGACTTTCCCTGAAATTGCTACATTATGCAGGCTAGCATCAAGATCATGATGTTTATTTATTAGCCTTTCAATACCTGGGATGACAGGCATGCTGTACTGGACATGCATATTTGAATGCCAACAGTTCTACTGTAGGAAAAGTGTTACTGTAACTATTAAGTCACAATAACTGTACACACTGAAATGGTGGCTTTCCCAGAGTCAACATCATTCAAATCACAGAACCTCTACAATCTGTGTGTTTGCTTAGTTTCCAGGCAGCAGCTAATAATGAACAATTGGAACAAACACAAGTTCTCCTGGGTGATTTTTCTGAAGAATCTGTGTACACTTGCTCTATTCAAAACTTCATTTTTAGAGGAAGAACCGGAAAGGAGTGAATTGTACCCCCTTATGCTATGCTGGCTCAGAAGAACAGCATTAAATGTGCATTTGACAGGAAGAGAGATTTATTCCAAGAATTGTCTAGAAACCTAACCTCCGATCTGTTATCTCTACCTAAATAATACAGAGATGCTGAAATTAAGATGTACAGAATCTGTTGTCATGGAAACTTCCCTGAGAAAGAAGGAAGCAAAATGTATTTTTCCCCAACTACTCTTCATGTATTCCATCCTGCATATGTAGTCCGCAGCTCTGTAGGAAAATAGGAGTATAAATTTCATTAGACTCCAGTTGTCACATTTCCCTACCAAACTGCACCCATCCTACCTCTACTGACTTGTCATCTATTCTATCTAGCTCTTTCACGTGTGGCCCATTGTGCTAAGGCAAGCCAGTGTACATTCACACTCATTCTCTACAGACAATATTTGTCTTGAGGATTTTAGGTAAGACAAGTGCTTTACAACACTTGGTCTCTATTAGGTTCCAAAAAAGAGCATTCTTTGAAAGAAAGACCTCCATTAGCTTTTCCAGAAGATGTAATTTTTCCCATGATGCTGCCAACTTAACTGGCTACAGTGAGGAGCTATGGAAACCTACCTGGATCCACAGACTACACTTTTTTTGGTTTTTACGAGACAGGGTTTCTCTGTATTGTTTCGGGGCTATCTATCCAGCCTGGCCTCGAACACACAGAGATCCGCCTGCCTCTGCCTCCCGAGTGCTGGGATTAAAGTCTTGTGCCACCACCGCCCAGCCCCACAGACTACACTTTTAAGAAAGTATCTCCATCTGAACACATATGGTAATCAGAGACTGACTCCAGCCACAGGAATGTGCTGTGGCAGCAGAGTTTGAGCAAGTACTTTAGATGCAACCAGTCGGAAGCTCCAGACCTCTGTGTTTAGGTAGGAAAAGCTCCATTCTCAGAAATCTAGAAAAGCATTATTTGAAAAGCAATATATCACCACAAAGGACAATGAACAGTATGAATTCCACATGTACTACAGGCATCCTGTCAGCAGTAAATGATTTCCAGTTGTACTTACAGATATGCTGTTAGCATGCCATCAATGATCTGACCAATAATTTTAAAAATTGACTTGCTACCTAACCACCCAGACACACACAAGTCATGTAACCCTCTGATTATAGTCTCCATTCCTTTAAAAATCACCCTCCCTTTAGTTCAGGGACACATTCTCTTCATCTGCTGAATCAGACTGTGGGGCTGTGGGCTGAAGTTAGGGACTCTATTGTATCTGCATTGAACTCTGGCTTCTTGGGGTCTTGTGGAGGAATCTGCAACACAAGTATAACAGATATAGTTTCCATTAGCATAGGGTTATAAGACAGCAAAAGATCAGCTAATAACAGAGAAATATGCTCTGCCACTATGGGAAAAATGTGGGTCCTTCCTTCATTCGAGATGATGTCAAATATGTTAAATAGCCATATGCTTGCTGAAGAGAATGAGAGATCTTCCATGACTGTGTATAAATTATAGAAGATGAGAATGACAAACTGCCCTAAAATTCATAGATGGAACATTCCATTAAGGGGAGGAGGAGGAATAGGCATTTAAAACAAAATAATTAAAGCTACAAACCATTGATAAAAGAGACTGCTTTCCTCAGAGGATAAAGAAATTTAAATCAGAGACAAAATCCTGCAGATCCTCGATGTTCTCTACCCATGAAAACTTCTTGAGCTATGGGACTAGTGCACAATTAGGATCACACAAAGTGGTAAGTTAGAATCCCTGAAGACATATCACCTCAGCCACCTCAATTATACACTAGAAAAAAGCCAGAAGGAAGAATAAGAACAACTAAAGATGCTACTACTGTAAACCATGGGACATGGCTGGTTACCACAGGCATGGAAATACTAATTACTAAGATGAGTACTCCCAGACTGGTCTTGGAAGCTTTTGTAGAAACCTATCCTGAAAAACTAAACTACAAGAAAAGTTACAAACCTATCTGCATTACTCTTGAAACAATCTCAAGCAGGGACCCAAGACCGACAACCTGTTTCAAAAAAAGGATTCTTCCTACACATTTAAACATCTAGAGGTATCTTCAATGGCATTCCCCCAGCAGAGTAGACAAATACTTGCTGGTTGTGGTGTGTATTTTATGTAGAAGCCTTTCCTTCCCACAGAGAGGATTACCTTGAAGGTTGGGCTCATGCTACCATCATTAATTTGGATTGAGAGATTAAGTAGAACATTGAAATTACACCAATCAAGCTTTATCAAGACGCAAAACTCATTTGCGCAGAAATTCTGCCACTTTTAATGTTTGGGGTGTATTGCATACCCTGTAAATGTGTTTAATCTCCTTTTGAGATTGCGTCTGGGCACCCACATCCACTGCTCACACACACCTCAGAAGAAACATGAAAGTATGAACAAACTCACCTCCAGAAGATCTTGAAATACTAGGTTGACAGTGCACAATAAATTGACTAGCCCTCAGCACTCCTTTAGCTCTTAAGTAGCAAGTAGCAAGCCATGGACACAAGACACCCACACGAAGGTTGCCATAAACCTGAACCAGGAGTGGACTGAGAGATCTGTCTCAGATCAGCCTCTCAAACTGAACATCTCAAAACAAACTCAGAATGGTGGCAATGTCTAATCATTCTGCATCCTGATGTCCTCCTGAGCTTCTGGATATGCACCTATGCAATTCCCATTCGGTGTCTCTGAACGTATTACATCAATTAGTCTGGAGAGCAACCTTGTCCCAGGGCATCTCCAAGTCCTTGGCAGTCATCAGTATTTACTGCCTCCTAAAGGGGTTCTATCTTACCTCCTCATGGTAGTGCTACTTGGGAATGCACCAGCCATGGATCATCCTCCAAACCTCATCATGCTGTTATGGAACTGCCCACACCAATAAAGCAGAATGAAATTCATTGTGATGATATTCTCAGCTAGTGACAGTTTGTGGACAGGTGACCAGAGGAAAAAAGTAACAATTTTTGGAGAAACTGCCTTTACAAGAAAACATAGTCAACCTTCAGAAGCAGATGGATTCACTGGCAGCAATATGCCTCCAAAACAATAGGGGATTTTATGACTGCTGAAAAGGAAGTCACATCCATGATTTTCAATGAGGAATATCATTTTTATGCTGATCAGTCAGAAATCATAGGATAAAATGCTGAATAGATATAGAAAGATAAAGGGTAGAGAAGAAATAAAGCACAATGTGGATATCATGGGGACCCTGACTAGCTCTGTGAATGGGATCTTTTAGGATTATAATGCCACTCCTTCTTTTAGAAGCATGTGTCTTTTAAACACTCTGTCCAGTTTTACCAGAACTAGAATAAAAGCAAGAAAGCTGTATATGATACACCAGGTGGTGTCAACACATATGTTCAAGAAAGAGCCTAAGATATTATGAAACTTACAGATGAAGGAATGAAGTAAATAAAATAAGGTAGAAAATATCAATCATTATTGATCTATTGGCAGATATTTTAATTGCTTAAGCCTAGACTTGTATTGCCTCTTTTCCCAGAATGACTTCAAGTAGAACAAAAACCAGGAAATGTAACTGAAAAAGTGGGTCACTGCCCTTAATGACATGCTAACAGCCAGGAAGCTTCCAAGAAATCTTGCTTGCTAGCTTGACTACTCCAGCATGTGGCTTCAAAGAGTAAAATGGGAATGCAGACAGGACTTTGAACTAATGCCTTTCAGAACTTATCCTGGCTTTATTCTTCCATTGACACTCCTCGGTTCCACGGTCAATGGTATTGGATCATCTGTTTATTCCAAAATGGGTTTTGCAACCCTGCAACCAAATTCTGAAGGTGCTGTCACATTGAATTCTGCAGCCCTGCCAAATCCCACCCATCTTACTTCTCACCATTGTGTATGTTCTGTATTTCTGGGAACTCTAGAAGACTGTGTATTGCATTTTTCTCAGTATTGACAAGTTGGCCTCGTTGGAAGCATATAAGGGCCACTTACTTTCAAAACATGAGTGAGCCAAACATTGCGGGGAACTTCACTGAAGCCCACAACTGTGTTAAGATGACTGACATTATTGTCTTGTCTAAAGCGATTAAGAAGATTCCTGGCTTGATTACTTTGGAGTCTTTGACTTTTGTTAAGAATTTTTTCGTGAAAGATGATGATATTTTCTTGGTGACCTATCCAAGATCAGGTAACAAAACTGTGTGTGTGTGGGGGGGTTAATTTAGGTGGTTGGGTTTGGTGGTTAACCCATGAGTTAGCTATTTTTCGATTGCTGTGACAAGACACCATGGCTAATCTTCTTATAAAGGAAAATAAATATTTGGATACTCGATGACAGTTTCTGAGTGTTAGCACATAATCATTGTGGTAGGGGCACAGTGTCAGTTGCAGCAGAATGTACCTAGAGGAGGAGCTTAGAGCTTAAATCTGATTTTAAAATGCAGACACAGAGAGAAAGAGTTAGGGGGTTAGGCTTGGGTAGGCTTTTGTAATTTCAAGGCCATAACCAGTGACACTGTTCTTACGAAAGGTCCATGTCTCCTCCAACAAGGCAAACTTCCTAATTCTTTTCAAGTAGCTCCATTAGCTATAGATCAAGCATCCATACATACGAGCCTATGGTTGACATTCACATCCAAATTACCAATATCTCTCTATATTTCCCATGTTATTTGCACAATCACTGCTTCCACCAAAATGTTTATAAAATTTCCCCCAAAATTTCTGCTCCCCAAACCCTGTATTTTGGGGGCACTTAGAAGGCATAAATTGGGGTGATTTATTAAAATATTAGTCAAAGTAAGTTATATGCTTGAAATTATGAAAGAATAAAAAGAAAAATATATAGCCTAAAACAATATTGACTATTTGTGGTCAACTCAACCCTTGGCCTGTATCACCTGTACACAACGTAGGGAGGGAGTTGAAAATTCCCAATCTTCAAATTCTGGTATAGGGAATTTTGTGAGCACATTACAACCTCAGGCTTATTGTAGGACACAGTCAATTTTTAACTCACAGAAAACTTCTATGTCTTTACTATTTCTTCAGAGATTTCACAATAGGAGTTTTTTGCATCCTAGGAAACTCGGAGATAGACTCTACCACCTATCTACCATATATTGGTGGATTGGTATATCAATCATTTACCTCCCTGCATACCTAGTAGTCTGTGTAAGACTGTTCTGGGGGCATAGGTTTCTATGAAGTAAATGTATTGCTGAAAAGACACAAGCACATCAGTATTTTCTCATAACTACTTCAATCAGCCAATCCCATTTTAATACTGCATCTCCTAGGGAAAGGTAGCTTCTGCAGGTTTCCATTTGCTCTTGTCAGTTACTAAATCTAGGGCTGCTCTCAAGAAACACACAGCTTCTCCTTTCCAAAAGCTGGGAAAGGGAAATGTCAAAAGTGGGCAGGAGATGAGGTTGACTCAGGGCTCACTGATTGTCAGACACTGAGATGGGCAAGGTTTGGTTGAGCACTGCTTGATTTCCAATTGGCTCTGCCATTTCTATATGTGTGAATTTGAGCACACTCTGTCATCCCTGTGTCAAACAGAGAGTTCTGAAGATCATGGAATTCAATCAAGTGTTTGTGAATACAAACATTAGATAATAAATAGGTTAAAATGAAAATGATGTGGTTTATGCTATCACAGGGCAGAATCAAAGGGTGGGTCAGAAGGGGTTACTAACACTGTTAATACCATCATCTAAGATACAAGATTTCCCATCCCTTCTTTTTCTTGTAATGTTATCGCAAAACCTTGATAAGTCTTAGGTCCTCCATGTAACTGTGTATGAGGTGGGATGATAGAGAGCAATCAGACTACTTGTGTAGTCATAACCAATAAACCCAGCATATCCTTTGAAATTTCATTATGCTGTTCAGATCTGATTAGGTAGATATGTAGTCCTGGAAAGAATAGAAAGATAGAAGTAAGTTGAACAATCAATATAATGTCATAGTTAGATATGTGAGATGCTTTGGAATGCAACGAACTGTAGGGTAGCTATAGATTCTTGCTTCAAAAGTGTAGAAAACAGTTATGTTTACAAGAGTCAACATGAAGATATGATGTTCATTCAAAGAGGTAGATATGTTTAAAATGATAAAAAATATTGTGCAGTATCTACATCACATCGTGTCACAGCATTTATACACTTTAATATGTCTGTTAAATTTCATACGAATGGAAAAAATAAGAACTGAGGAAAGGCACAGCTGGAGACATGAAAATGCTGTTAAGAGTACTTTCATAGACCTCAGTGTCTAAATATGGTGAAAAACAAACATCTGTGAATCCTAAGTAAGTACTAGACTTTGAAAGACAAGGGAAGAAGTCTAACAGAGTAGGAACCTGGAGGCAGAAATTAAAGTAGAGGCTACTGAGGTGTGCTGCTTCCTGGCTTCTTCTCCTGGCTTACTCATTCTGCTTTCATTTCTTATTCATTCTAGAAACACTCACCCTGAGTGGTAATGCCCACAGTGTCCTGGTCCATTAGATATCAATCATTAATCATGACTATTCCCCACAGGCTTCCTTACAAGCCTGGTTGATTGTGACCTTTTCTCAACTGAGGTTCCCTCTTCCCAGACAACTCTAGATGGTTTCAAGTCGACAAAACAAATAAACAAACACACCAACATATAAATAATCAGCAACGAGGGGTGTTGAAGGTGGAAGGCATAGTAGGATGAAGGCAAAAGCCCAGTAGACAGGGGTGATACTGTGGGTTAAAAGTTTTAAGCACATATGTAGATGTCAGGGTTAGTGTTATGAGAGTGATAAGAGTGTGGTAATGGAGGAAGGATTTTCCAGGATTACAAAGTATAATGAAATCATTTGGAAATCTGCTGCTTGTATACACACAGAAACAACAAAAATAAACCTAAGAATAAAACCAAATAAAATGCCTTCATCATTGAAAATATGAAACATCTACTTTACTATGATAACATAACACAAAATCTGATTATTGACATTATCTCTCAACTAGGAACACACTGGATGATTGAGATAGTCTGTCTCATTCTCTCTGAAGGGGACCCTACTTGGGTTCAAACTGTTCAAAATCATACCAGGTTTCCATGGTTTGAATATGAAGATTCACAGAAATTACTGATGGACCAGAACAGACCACATCTCATTGTTACACATCTTCCCATACAACTGTTTCCCAACTCTTACTTCACATCCAGGGCTAAGGTAAGTGAATACTTTTCTCTGGGATGAAATGGAAGAGTACCCTCTTTAGCCCCAGCCCACGGGTCAGTCGATGAGGACACTAGCGGTAGGGGTGAGAATGAAGGGACAAGAGACATGAGAGATGGAGACACGACAGGATTCTGATCAAGTATCATTTATTATCAACAAGGTTTAAATAGGCAGGTGGCAGAAGGGCAGGGGAGCAGAAGTTTTCCTTGGTAGGATATGTTGCAAGGAGTCAAGTCTGCACTGCGGGAGTCTGGATTGCAGGCCTTGAAAATATCCTTTACAGGAATATAAGTATAAATTCAGAAATACCAACTTATCTAAGTGTTAGTCTCTAAGAATGCAGTAAGATGGTTTCTATTATGCTATCCTTATTTAGGGCCCTACAGAGGTCCCTCTTTGTGTAAAGTAAAACGCTGTGACTTCCTTGAGGGGGCTGTGCCTGTCTTAGTTCAGAGGATCATGTGGATCAGGAGTGTGCAATACCCCTACCCATTATTGGAGATAACGACATTGCATGATGAGCATTCCTGTCTTAGAGGATAGGTGTCCTATCAGGATGGGACACCCTCTTTCCTTCCTCTATTGATCATCAATGGCTAACTAGCCAAGCTCACCCAGGAAGAGATGAATCAAAAGTAATTGCATAGCTACATAATTTAAATAATCTATGATTAAGGTTCATTATTTCTGCCATGCCTTCCATTTCTGCCATGTCAAGATGGTGATAGTGCACCTGTATAGACTGCATCTTGAGAGCATCCATTTTACTCTTAACAAAAGTCATCAGCTTATTGCAGAGAAAGTGTCCTAGTGATAGGAGAATTAATAAGCCAAGCAGGGGCTCTAAAAAGGGAAGAAGGTATGGCAGAAGTTCATGCCAGGCCATCCAAATGGTCTTGTCAAAGGGTCTCTGTGGTGTTTCTCGAGTGCTTCTTCTGAAAGGGGGGTCAATAGGAGGACAGCCCCATGTATGACATGGATCTTCATTTCTGGGAAATGGAAAGGAATAAAATTCTCAGGAGGGGCAATTCCTCCTGGAAGAATTTATGTTGTCATCTATTTGTTTAACTAATCTTTCTGGAAGCCATCTGGCAGATTTCATTTCTTTGGAGTATATGCATACTGCTCCTCATCAACGTATTAGGACTGGATCAGGTCCATGCCAAGTGTTGTCTAAGGGGTTTTTGCACATGATTGTGGCAAACGTTTTCTTGTATCAGAGTGCCAAAACCATGTGGCAGTAGATTTTCCATCATTATACAAAGTTTAAAAATTAACAATGAAAAGAGGATGTATCAGAATATTCCTTTGCATGCCTTTGGTGGAATACTAAGCTCCCCCTCTTAATTTGTTAATAGTTAGCTTGAGTGTAAGGTTAACTCTTTCTATTATATCTTGTCCTTGAGGAATATATGGAACTCAAGTGACATGATTGATAGCTAATTGTCTGCAGAAGGTTTTAAAATTGGCACTGATATATCGAGGTCCATTATCAGTTTTGATTTGTTGAGGTGTGACCATGACAGAAAATGCAGCTAGCAGATGGTTGATTACATGAGTAGTGGTTTCTCCTGTTTGAAGAGAGGCAAAGATAAAACCACTACATGTATCTATATTAACATGAATATATTTAAGATGTCCAAATTCTGTAAAATGGGTAACATCCACTTGCCAGAGAGCATTGGGCTCAAGTCCCTGAGGATTAACCCCCAAATGGGGTAGAGGTAAATATTGGATTCAATCTGAGCAGTTTTTCACTATATATCTAACTTGTTCTCTGGTAATATGATACATGAGGCATAAAGTATGGGTATTAATGTGATATAAGGAACGTCCTTTACATGTAGCTTCAATGCTTGTGTCTTGGACAGAATCATCAGGCAGAAGAAAACGTGTTGCTTAGTCTTTCAAATGGTTGTCTCTGAACAGGGGTCCAGGGATACCCAAATGATCACAAAGGTGCCTTATAAAAAAGGTAACTTTCTTACTCTTATGAGAGAAATTAGTTATCTGAATAAATTTCCAGTCTCAGAGATATTTTTAATTTGACCTATAGTCTCTAAAAGTTGTAGTCAATGGGCAACATAGGCTCTGTCAGTATAAATGTTAAGTGATTGATTTGGAAAGTCAGTAAAGGCAGCTATGACAGCATATAATTCTGCTAGTTGAGCAGACAAGGCCCCGGTTTGAAAACTGGTAACCTCGTCATTCCAAACATAAGGAGCTATCCCCATGGAGGAGCCAGTAATAAGCATAGTTAATGCACCTAGTATAAGATCTAGGAGAGTACTTTTGGAAAATAAAATTCTTGTTGATTGGCAAAATCAATTAACTTATTAGGTGGATAATGATTTTCTGTGTCTCCTATGTAATTGGCCAAGGCTATGGGCAAGCACTCTGTTGTTTGCATAAACCAATCAACTTGTTCCTTGGTATAAAGTTGAATAATAAGGTTTGTTTCATGGTCAAAATAAGACTTGCCCTGTTTTCTGCCTATAAGAATAATATCTGAGACTAATTTAAAATAGGGATTTGGCACCCTTTTGGGAATGACTGATAAATAGACCCATAATATGGGAGCAGTTTTCCAAAAAAAAAAACTACGGTTGGAGACTAATTTGTTTTGCAAACAATGAACCACAAAAAGTAACTGTTTGAGATTGTATGGCTTGTTCTAACAAAGGTATTGTTTTGCGGTTTTCAGGGGAAAGTTGATGAGGTGAGGTAGGATCTGAATTACCAGGGAGAATGTCATAAAGTGGTTTTAATTCATCTTTGGTGAATTTTAAATAAGGTAGTAGCCAATTAATATCTCTCAGTAATTTTAAATATCATTAAGGGTATGAAGCCTAACCAATCTTAAAGTAAGTTTTTGAGATAAAATTTTATCTTCAAACATTTTAAAACCTAAATATATATGGGGATCTTTGAGTTGTACATTTTCTGGTGCTATCTGTAATCCCCTTTTCATTAGAGCATCTCATAACTATTTATAATAGAGTAACACTTATTTGGTTTTTGTCCTGGTGGTGGCTGTTTGAATTTGGGCAAATAGCCCAGGTTCATATTGCATTTGAACATCCTCTGCCTTACTATTTCCTTCGCCCATTAACATATCTGCATTCCAGTTATTGCCTGCCTGATCATTTCTTTTGGCAATGTCTTCACAAGCTTCTGCAAATTCTGACTTCCATAAAAGATAATCTCCCCTTGCCAAGTTTGCTCTAGTTAAAATGTACCAGTCAGAGTGAGTAAGCCATTTTTTACCACAGATTCTATGATTACCCAGCTAGAGATTTTAAAGTCAGGCAAATCCACCAACAACTCTCAGGAAGGTGTTGCCAAGCCACCTCTCAGGGGGCTGCCCCTAAGACACCTTTTACCCACCACCATCAGACAAAAACAGCTTTTCCAATAACTGAGACAAGAGATGCACAAGGTACTGCCTGGCAACATCATGCTGGTTTCGATTTCATTGTAATCAAAGAAGTCAAAACTTCAGTCTCTTAATACAGAGCTGTGGATCTTTATACCACTGCTATCATAGAATTTGTGGCAAACATTACAAAATAGGAGGATGTGAATGGGCCTGGGGAGATTCGCACTGTATTAATGAAGTATGATCATCTTTTGCAAATATCCCATTCTACTGGGGATTTTTACTTGTAGATTATTATGAAAATGAATCTTTCCTAAGCTGTATTGCTTAACTGAAGCAATGATTTCATAAAATAATAGTGTTAATATAAATATAATTTTGATGACTGAAGGTTTTTAATATATGTAGTAAGAATTATGAGGATGGGTCATGAGAACATGGAGGAAAGGGAAGTGGAATTGGTATGTAAAATAAGATTCTTAATTTAAATAAAATTTATATTTAAAAATTCAGAAAAAAGTTTCCCTTGTTGCTAATAAAGCAGAGGCTGCAGAGAATAAACAGTAAAACAGGAAAGTGTCACACAACTAGAACACATACATTTTTATTGAACATTGAAATAAACTGTAACTTAGATTAATGATTAAGAAATTCCCTGTAGCCCAGGTAGATTAAATTCTTCTAATCTGAATGTTGGGAGATGTAATCACAGATTTCAGAGTGAGTCATAGCTGAAACAAAGCTTTGAAAACAACTTAAAGATAGACTAAGATGGTTTTATTAATAGCTTTGAGTTGACAATCCCAAGAAATCGATCTAAAGTTTTAGAAAGGCACATAGTTGAATGAGAAACACGTTAAGGTAAAGAAACAAGAACAAAGCCACCTAATTATTATTAGCTGATGTGCCTTCATTTCTGTGGTGGCTTGGTGACCAACACCAATGGTTAATTCCTTGTGTTCATTTCTTACCTCAGATTCCTGATATTTTTTAAAAACTGTTGATAAGTGGCTATGTACCCTGAGGATTTAAAATACAGATGACTGATTCTTTTTCATATACAAAGGTATAGATGTGTGATTCTTCTAAGATGTCTATAAGATTATTCAATGAGGTAAATAATAAAATTATTAGTCTTTTCTTGGTAGCCACAATATGCACACTGGCTAAAAAATACTCTGTTTGCTCACATTCTGTTAATCTATAACAAGTTAATTGGATATGAGTGTATGTGGGTTCTTGGGACAAATTGTTTTTCACTGTATTAAGTAAACAGCTTAATCAATAAGGGAAATGGAAAACATGTTTTTTAATGTTCTTTAATTTATTTTTATTAAAACAATACTTTTTATTTTACATGTCAATCCCAGTGAGACCCTCACCTTCTCCCATTTCTTACATTTTTCCCCACACGAACCTCCATACAATCCTCAGAAATTGTGGGGACTCCCACTTGGAATCAATGAAATAGCTTGAGGCAGGATCAAGTCATGTCCCCGGTTTCGGGACAGAGAAAGGCACTCCATAGGGAATGCACTCCAAAAAGCCAGTTAATGCACTGGGTAAAAGTCCTAGTCCCACTGACAGTGGCCACACAAACTTCCCAAAGTAC